GAACAGGCAGATTGACGAAGTACACTGCTGAGGGGAGCAGCGGGCGGGTCAGGAGAGGTCTGCCACGCCATGTGGTCACCTCGGGGGCAGGCAGGAATCGAACTCATGCGGAAGCGGCTTTAGCTTCTCATTGCTGTGCTTTAACCTGCTGCGCCACCGGGGAGAGCCCAGTTTTTTTAATATGTGCCATTCTTACTGGTGTAGGGTGGTATCTCATTGTGATTTTGGTTTGCATTTCCTTGGTTATGAGGGATGTTGAACATTTTTTCATATATCTGTGGGCCATTTGCATTTCATATTTGGAGAAGTGTTCTTTATGTTCTACTGCCCATTTTTTAAAGATTTATTTATTTATGCATACAGAACTGGAGTACAGGCCACAGGTGCAGGGATGCTGAGAGGCATCAAGACAGAGTGGGGTGCAGAACAGGCAGATCGACAAAGTGCTCTGCTGAGGGGAGCAGTGGGCAGGTCAGGAGAGGTTTGCAACCCCACGTGGTCACCTCTGGTGCGGGGATTGAACTCACACTGAATTGGCTTTAGCTTCTTAGTGCTGTGCTTTAACCTGCTGCACCATCAGGAAGGACCCACTACTACCCATTTTTTTACTGGATTATTTACTTTGTTTTCCTTGAGCTGTGTGAGTTCTTTGTATATCTTTATGATCAATCCTTTATCGGTTGTGTGAAGTGCAAAAATATTCTCCCAATTAGTAGGGTGCATCTCTGTTTTGGTTAAGGTCTCTTTTGCTATAAAGCTTTTTAATTTGATGTAATCCCAGCTGTTTATCTTTTCTTTCATTTTGTTTGGTTTGGGGATAGTCTTTAAAGATGTTACTAAGATATATACCTTGTAGTGTTTTACCTGTACTTTCTTCCATATATTTTATGGCTTCAGGTCTTATGTTCAGTTCTTTTATCCATTTTGAGTTGATTTTTGTGCATGGTATAAGGTAAAGGTCTAGTTTCATTTTTTGCATGTCCAGTTTTAATATCATCATTTGTTGAACAAACTGTCTTTATTCTGTTGCATATTCTTTGCTCCTTTGTCAAAGATTAGTTTCTATATATGTGTAGGCTTTATTTCTGGGCTTTCTATTTGGTCCCATTGGTCTATGTGCCTGTCTTTGTGCCAGTATCATGCAGCATTTATTAAGTCTGGGACTGTGATACCTCCATTCTTCTTTGTTTTAGTCAGGAGAGTCTTGGCTATTCGAGATTTTTTGTGGCTCCCTCTAAATTCCATTAACATTCAACAAAATTCAACATCAATTTATGGTGAATGTCCTTGAAATTCATGAGATAGAAGGAACATATCTTAACATGATAAAAACCCATATATGACAAGCCCACAGTCTTTATCATCAAGGACATGAAAAGAATGTTCATTCTCATCACTGCTCTTCAACATAATACTGAAATCCTAGCCAGAGTTATAAAACAGGAAAAAGACATACAAGCTGAAAGGAAAGGCAGCAAAGTTGAAAGCAAAGAGCATTTTATTGTGCTCTCTGACAACACCGACAGAGTGATCTGAAAATCAGAGACTTTTATACTGCTTCTAAGTTTGGGTATTTTTCCTCTTTTGGAGTTGTCTCGTGTTCCTGTTTTTCTGACCCTTTCCTGATGATCTCAGGTGGTGTTTTTCCTCCAGGGCGCAGGTTCCAGAGTCTTTTAAGTTTCCTTTCTTCCTGGTGGTAAGTTTTGTTTCCTCTTCCCTTCCAGCCTGGAGGCCTCTACCAGCCTAACACAAGCAATCCAAATAGGGAAAGAAGAAGTAAAACTATCACTAATCACAGACAAAATGATAATATACATAGAAAACCCTAAAAACTGCACAGAAAAACTAATAAAAATTATAAACCGGGGCCTCCCTGGTGGCGCAGTGGGTTAAAGCACTGAACTAAGAAGCTTAAGCTACTTCCGCATGAGTTCGATCACCGCCTGCCCCGGAGATCCACATGGTGAGGTAGACCTCTCCTGACCCGCCCGCTGCTCCCCTCAGCAGTGTACTTCGTCAATCTGCCTGTTCTGCTCCCCACTCTGTCCCTGGTGTCCCTGGTGAATCCTCTCACCCTCCACATCTCTGGCCTGTACCCCAGTTCTGTATGAATAAATAAATAAATCTTTAATATATATATATAAACCAATTTAGTAAAGTAGCAGGATATGAAAATCAACACACAAAAGTTAGGAGCCTTCCTACTGAAACACAATGCTGAGGGAACAGTGGGCAGGATAGGAGAGGTCTGCCTTGCCAAGTCGCTCCCTGGCCTGGGGTCGAACTCATGCTGTGTTGGCTATGGAAAGCTTCATAGTGCTGTGCCCCCTGATGTGCCACCAGAGAGGGCTTATCAAACCAGTTTAAGAGGAACTGGGCACACAGCTGGTGCTCAGTTCACTTTTGTTGGATGACTGACGGAAAAAATGGATTGCGCCTTACTGTCACATAGATGCAGATTACTACCAGATACTGCCCTGAAACACCTCCCTTTCCTTTCCGCAGAAAGAAGTAGGTAGGGTTGCTCAGCACAGGGATACTTCTTGAGGACACACAAACGGTTTCCGTTTGAGACAAGCGGCGGTGGCCACTGCAGTGGAAAACTACACTTCCCAGACTCCTTGGCTTCTTTCAGCGACTGTTTTTCCCCACGCATGCGCGGCTGCCTTCCTCTGCCCCCGCCCCTCCTGCACCTACGTGAGGTGCTGGGCGTTTGCCTCCTGTGCTATCGAGTCCCGGGTCTGAGGCAGTCCAGGCATCGCTGGAGGAGGAGCCCCCTAGCCGAAGTTGCTATCTGGCGAGGTCTTTAGGGAGACCTCCGCCTGCGGAGCGGGACCGGAACTCCCGAGGCCTGGGCGAGGTGAGGGGAGGAGAATCGGCGGCGGAATTCGGGAAGGAGGGGTGGGCCGGGAGGATGCGGGGTACAGGCCGGAGAGTCCCCAGTGGGGCCTTAAGCCACCAGGGGTCGGAAGTACCCTTGTGGGCACAGAGGCGCCAAGGGCCGGTTATCCCCAAATCTATCGCCTGCCCCCACTCGCGGTCCCTAGAAGCTCCCTGAGCTGTCTAGTCGGGCCTTTGATCCTCTTGGGTCCCCAGGCCCCGTTTCAGCTTCCTTCCAACCGGTTCCTTGGGTGCTACCTGCCTGGAGGGGCTTGAATTTGCCACTGTCCATCACGAAAGTGAGGAAGTATACTCCTCTTAACCATCGCCACTGTCTTTCCGGGCTGCTGGTGAACTGAGTTGCCGGCTTCCCCCAGTGGCAGAGTCAGAACTGGAACCCAGGTCTTTGGTTTCTGTGCCCTTTATTCAAAATGGCAGGCCCCTCTCCCATCGGAAAACTGACGGTTTTCCTTTCACGAAACAGTTTTCTCTAAAAATACGGAAATTGATTACTGACAGAATAGGAAGGTGTTGGATGGGAAAAGCTTGAGGTGGCAAAATGTAATATGGCACACAGAGAGGTTTAAGGGATGCTCTGGACTCCCTGTGCTTGGGATCCTGGTGCCACCTTCACAGGCCTTAGAAACTACAGCAAGTTGCTCCCAGTCTGTCCCCAGTTTCCTAATGCATAAAAGTGGGAGTGCTGGCAAGGCAAGTGTATTTCAGGACTCAGTGATGTATGGGCCCAGTGCCTCCTGCTGCCGCTGCTGTTAGAGTTCTGTGTCTTTTATCTCTGACCTGAGAAAAGAGTTGGACCTGGACCAATATACCAGATGGCCCAGCCCTTCTCTATATTCCTGTTTTCTCCTAGCTCCTGTCTTATCCCTGACATGAAGTCAGTCTCAGGTGGTCTAAGGATTTCAGAGTTGGTGACTTGAATGGTGGTGAGCAAAAGTTGGCTTCCTCCTGCCTCTTTTTTTCTTCTCTCAGGTCAGCCTGCTATAGACTCTGCCCATCCTCAGGGAGAAGAGCCCAGAAAAAAAACATGGCTACCAAACAAGGGGAAACAAGGCCTCAGGTGAGTTTATTGCTATATCAGGTCTTAAAGGCTGATTTTTTTTTCCTCTTTAACTGAGCAGTCTTCCCCAAGATTTGAAGCCCCTGTTCTTTTAGCTTTGAAGAGTTTGTTCACCCTAATGAATGGTGGATTCTGTAGGGAATGCTTGCCTCTCCCCCACATCAATGATTCCTTTTCATTTTCTAGTAGACACTTTTATTCATTAATCTCAATCTGCTGTACGATTACTAACTTGACAGTCGAGGTACAACACATCTTCTGTTCCTTGAGGACGGCACAAACATGCACACTTGGCAGAGGCCCTTTCTGATGTTGCCCATTTGATCACTCATGTTCCCTTCCTTAACCTCAGCAAGAATGCTTTTCTTTTTCTTTCCACCATTGAGCATCTTCATGCTACCTTCCCAAACCATAGTTTTTGTTTTTTTCTCTCTTGACTTGTGCCTTGCTTCTATAACTCTTAAAAACTGACTTTGCCCTGCCATTTTCATATTTATGCATAGGAGTAAGGAAATAACCCCACCCACATGAGTCAATATGTAAACAAATGATAGCCATGTTGAAGGGAGCTCTATTGGAGAGTCTTCAATTCCAGAGGTAGAGAAATGACTCCTTGGGAAGAGACAGGGAAGGTTTCATGGGATATAGGTAGTGAAAAGGCAGTATATACAAGTGGTTAGGTAAGGCAACTTACCAGCCTTGGGTTGGGTATCTACCACTCTGCCACAGTTTTCTCACTAGTAAATGGGAATAACAGCACCGCCTTAGGACCTCATCAAGCAGGTGAGAGGATTGTCTGAGTTAGTGCATATAAGTGTTTAAGTCTGAGCAAAGCACATAGCAGATATTCATTGTATGGTGGTCATGGAACCTGAACATTATTAGAGTAATGATACTATTAAAGTTGTTAGGTAGAAACTGCTGTGCAGTGTAACTAGAACTCAGATTTTGTCCTTTCTTTTACTCATCTTCATCTGACTGCAATAAGACTTTACTTTTATTCTCGCTCTTACAATAATAGCACATCAGTTTTTTTATTGTTATTAAAGTACCATTGTTCCAATCCTTGCCAGTGTTTTGAAGTATAAGATGTCCTTCTCAGCATAGTTACCACAGCACTCCCATCACTGAAAAACCCCTAGTCTTTCATCAAAGTCCATTGTGCTCTCTCCCACCATCCTCCATTTTCATCCATCCCCTTCCCCCTCTGAAAGCCATAGATATATGGTCAGCCTTCAGATTGGTTTGAAACTTTGTCTTTGTCTGATCCTTTGTTGGATTTTTCTATACTCCATATATAATTGTTACTCTCCAGAATTTAGCTTTTTTTTTTTTGGCTTATCTCACTTAGCATAAATCCCTTTCAGCTTCATCTATATCGCTGCAAATGGCATGAGTTTTGTTTGTTTGGGTTTTTTTTTTCCTTTATTTTTTTCTTGAGTGCTAAATAGTTTTCCATTAACTGTATCTTCTTGATCCACTAGTCAGTTTGGGGGAACTTTGGTTGTTTCCATATCTTGGCTATTGTAAATAGTGCTGTTATGAATATAGGAGTGCAGGTTCCCTTTCAAATGCGCGTTTTTGTATTTTTGTATTTTGTATTTAGATGCCCTGATAGTGGAATTGCAGGGTCATTTGACAGAGCCACTTTCAGTCTTTTGAGAAACTTCCTTACATGGTGAAGTGAATATTATCCTCATTTTACATATGAAAGTTTAGATTGAGAAAACCTGAAATCAGAGCCCAAGGTTTGACTGGTACATGGTTCATTATCATACAGCCATTCCTCTTCCGAGTCTTTCACATCCTAGGGCAGACTTAGACTACATGTTACCATAGCTCTTGCAATGTGATGTGCCCCATTAAATGCATTGGTGTTTGACTATTGGTTGAATCTGCCATTGCATACTTGGGCTGCTTTTTTCTAAGGTTTCCCCAGCCCCTTCCATAAAGTCATGTTTCTCCCTTATCCAGATTCTTCTCCATCGTGAATGTGAAAATCTACGTGGCATTTTCCCTAGCCTTGCCTGCTGCTCATATCAGTACTGAGACATGTGTGTACTTCATACAGTGATAGGACATTGAAGAGCACTCTCTGGAGTGCTGGGTTAAAGGTTAAAAAACATACTCCTGCTTCTGTCACTCATAAAGTACATGACCTGAGTCTTGACTGTCCTGGGCCTTATGTTCCTCATCTCTAAAATGAAGATTGATCTGCTTTTTTCTGTACTATTCAAATTATTTTTGTGTTTTTCTTACCTGCTGGTTAAATGATAAATTCTTTCAAAGGCAAAGATCATTTTTGTATTCTCCCACACCCATGTGCCAGTAAATTATCATTATATGTTTTGTATGCTCGTGTTAAACATTTCCAAGAGTAAAATTACATATTCAGTTCATTCTTATCACAACATCTGGAGTTAATCATTGTCTTTACAATAATTCATAAATGATTTGCAATGATTTGTACCTCTTTACTATTTTTCTAGAATCATTTTCTAGGTATCTTTACTGATTACTGTTATTTTACCATTTCAACTTTTTTATTGTGATAAACATAGCATAAACATAACATAAAATTTACCACTATAAAACCCTCTTTGAGGATATAATTCATTGGTACTATATTTATACCATTGTGCAACCATCTCCATTTGGTGAGTTATCTTATTTGTTTTTTAGCTTTCTGAGGTAGAAATTGAGAGGCAGTTTTGTAGTAGTTAAGAATGCGGCTTGGACATTTTCCCCCCACTCCCACCCCCCCTTGATCACTGCTGCTGACCAACTTTGTTATTGTGATTTATAGTATGAAATATGTATTTGGGTTCCTTCCCTATTCCTGGCACCATAAATTCCAAAACCTCATAATTTCTTAAGTGGTTAATAATACTTTGGTTTTATTCCTGAAATAACTTCAGTGCAATAAAGATAAACAAGTGTGTTTTGCTATTCATAGCAAACACTTTGAACCATACCAGACTTTATAGCAATGAGGTGAGGTATGAAAAGCCCATAAGAATTGGACCTGGTTCCAGGAGAACGGACCCTGATCAGATGATTGAAACTTTCAATCCCTCCCCCAGATGCAGGTTAATTGAATCAGCTATGCCTATGTAATGATTTAATCAGTCATTCTTATGTAACAAAAACAAAAATTTATATTACCTATACTAATTATATTTTAGCGAAGATTAACATAAAACTCTGAGAACACAGTTGGCCCATCTAAAGCATTCAGTAAAAGAGTTATTTCAACTTCCATTATTACAGTCCTCTAGCTTCAGTGGGCACACATTGTCCTAAATTATTTAACTAGCCTCTGTCAATGATAATTAGATTTTAGGGGTTTTTTTGTTTGTTTGTTGTTTGTTTTTGCTGTTACTAACAATTTTATAAATATCCTTGCATATGCATTCTGTACATTGTTCATTGTAATACAAATATAGTAACTTCTGAATTAAAGAATGCATGTATTTTAAATGCTTCAGTGTGTACAATCAGATTTCATATGTATGATCAGAGAAATTGTTCTAACTCCTGTATGCTCTTTTACTGGTTGACACAGATTTGCTTTATCCTGCTCAGTACAAATTTGTCACTGGTCAGTTGTTCATCAAATATCAGAAGCATTTCAGAAGCATTTAATAATAATATCAGAAGCATTTCAGAATAACCAGTCTACCTCCCTGCTATCACCTTTACTCTGTGTGAAGGGTAGTACTTGGTGAGTGGGATGGCTTGTCTTACAGGTGTTGGTGACATTCGAGGATGTGGCTGTGCTCTTTACACGGGATGAGTGGAGAAAGCTGGGTCCTTCTCAGAGAAACTTATACCAGGATGTGATGCTGGAGAATTACAATAACTTGGTCTCATTGGGTAAGGACAATTTCACTAGGGATACAGAATTCGGAGATTTGTATAACAACACCTGCTTCCCTAGACAAAAGCCAGGGGCTATCAAAATCTTTAGTTGAGTTCTTGCCTTAGGATTGTATAATTGGGTCTCCATAAATAAATACTAAAACCTTTTTCCCATCAAAAGCATGAATTTGCCTAGTCTACACAGTTATACATTAAATAGCTTCATGATTCAGGCAACATTTTCCTATTGTGATAGTTTTGTGGTGTTTGCTCATCTCTCAGCAGAGAACTTCCCTTAACTGTCTTCATTAACCTTCATTAACCTTCTTGCCTTTCCCAGTTGTCTTTCCCAATTCAGACTTTAGAATAACTGGTCACTTACTTCCCTGGATTTTTTTTGCAAGTTTTACTGTGAGATTGTCCTTCTAGGATCTCTCAGAGCAAACATTAAAAGTATATTTCTCCTTATAGGCATGGAATTGCCATGTATGGGAATGGGAATGGTAGTATTGATGATCATTTGCTTCTTTCTGTATAACTAACTGTACTTGAGAAGTTTTTATACAGTTCAAGCATTGTTTTTCTGCCACAATTATTCTGGGACTTGTTTGTATAACTCTCAACAGAGGACTTGTTTGAACCTCTAGTCCCACCACTTGCCTTTCCCACTTGTCTTTTTGAGAAGTTAGCAAATTTTTTCTGTAAAGGACCATGTAGTAAATACTTTAGATTTTGTGGGCCACATATAGTTTCTATAACATATTCTGCTTTTTTATCCCAGCCATCCTTGGTTCAAGAGCTCTACATCAGCAGCCAGTGGCCTAGAATTGTCCTGTGACCTGTAATTTGTTATACCTATACTTCTAATAAACTCCCTCTTCTGTAGAAAGCTATGGCACCTGTTAATCAAGGCTGCATATTTATCATATTTTCCGAGCATAGTATTTATTGCAGTCACGTCCTATGAATACCTTACCTTTCTCTAATACTTCCCTCACAATGTAGGGCACAACATGAACACCTCACAGAAGTTCTTCTACCATCTTCTGAGTTTTCCACTCAGATAAGACTCAGTGTCAAAATAAAACCAACTCTTTTTTCCCCCTCCCCCTACCTATGAGCAGGACTCCCATTTTCTAAACCGAAAGTGATCTCCCTGTTGCAGCAAGGAGAAGATCCATGGAAGGTAGAGAAAGAAAGTCCTGGAGGTGCCTGTCAAGGTGAGTTGCTGGGACTAAGGTACTTGGGATTGCTGCAGAAAATAGTCTGCAATAATAATAACTGTACAGCATACCTGGGAGTTGTTTGTCAGGAAAGTTTCTCCAGGGCTCTGAGCTCTCAAGAAGTGGAAGAGAAGGGGACACTGAGATACCTGGCACAGCCTCCTCTTATTCTGGTTAATTGCTTCACAAGTGACTCTAATTATCTCTTTTCCTATCCTCTCCTGTTAAGAGGAGGGCTACAGTTGTATGCGCTCATTCAGCAAACAGTAATGTTAAACAATTGCTAATCATTCTGGTTGTCACTCTGTATATGTCGAATGAGAATAAGATTAGAAAGCTGAGTGGGGCCACTTTATAAAGTGTTGTACTACAGTTCTTAGGTGCTGAACTGTCCAGTGAATGACTAGAAGTTATTAAAGGAATTACAGGATTTTATTTTACTTTTTGTGTGATTTGTGCTATTTTTAATTTTTGAAGTATATTCATTACATCATCCTTCGATTAAAGGATTTTAAATAGAAGCCTTATATGGTCCTTGACATTTTAGGGGGAAAAAATGAGTTTGATTCAGAAACAAGGGTGACTGGAAATAAAGGATTTCTAATACAAGAATTTTATGAACCTTAATATTTAAGGAAAATTGCTTTGAATTAGAAACAAATTAAATGTTCTTTAATAAGATCAGAGCTAAGGAAGCTATAGTATATCCCTATTCCAATTTATAGTATCCCAGAAAGAATGTGCTGATGTGGCTAGACTTCTACGGCACATTGAGTACAAAAACAAGTAACAGAGCATTACTATAATACATTATCATCCTTGTTTAAAGAAAATTATGTGGGTAGTTGTGTAATATGCATCTAAATACAGAGAAGGGTTGGGGGACACATTTTAGCTGGTAACAGTAGTTCCATTTGGAGTGCAATTGACAACAGGTGTGATGAAAGAAATCTTGTAATATTTTTATTTCTCACAGAGACTATAATCATGAAGTCTTTATGTAACTTGAAATACACAAGAATGGTCACCTTAGAAGCACTTTTGGGAATAAATTGTAAATAAAGTGAGGCAAAATTAGAGGTGAAAGCCCAGAGACTGTTGCATAATAGAAGCAAGATATTGCTAGGCCTATATGAAGGCCTACTTTGTTGAGGATGCTAGACAAGTTCAATGTGTGGGATAAGGTTCATCTGAGTTAAGAGTGATCAGAGATCAGGGAGCAACTAGTTGGTACAAAGGTGGCATTTGAAACCTTGAGAATCTCAGGAAACACTGATGAGGTAGGTTTAGAATGAGGAATCTGACTGAGCTTGAGAAATCATCAGAGGGAGACAGATGTGGAAGGTGGGGGTTGAGCTGTTAGAAAGGAGAGGCTTGGGCTTTAGAGCATCCAGGGTCAAGCCCTCACCCATTGCTGTCCTATGCTGTGAATGAGTTCCATCCTGCACTGGTGGTGCAGTACTGGCAAGGGAGATGCACCAGGGGAACTTCCTGTGGAGGGAGAAGACAGGTATTCATGAACATTGCAGGCTATAGAATGACAGATTCTGGTCAGGAACTCATAGGAAAGACAGAGAGCCCTGAAGAATGTAGCAAAGTAGAAGAGGCTTAGCTGATAAAGGGCCCCATCTCGGACATGAAGTGTTCCATGCACAGATAAGGACAGGTGTATGAGTCCAGAAAAAGGAAGCCTGAATGTACCAACGGGAGTGAGTAGAGAGGTGGAGGGACCAGATCCACTGAACTAGGGGCTCTGTCACAGGATGTGGTCTGTGTCAGAGGGTCAGCCACAACCCAGAGGAATTGGAAGTAGCCTGACTACAGGCCCGCGTTTAACATCTACAAAAAACAGCCTGCGGCCAACATTGGCCAGTTGGCATGGAAGTTTAAGGACTTGGCAGACAAATCAGTACCTTACAACATGGGCCCTGCAGAGGAGCTGCCAGGCTCAAAACCCTCAAGCCAGAGAGTTTTCTTCCTATTATAAGTTGAGATTATTTCATGTGAGAACTGCATTGTAGTCTGTATTTTTTTTTTTTTTTAGTAGTCTGTATTTTTTTAACTCTCAATTTGGGAAAAATACACTAGTTTTATGGAAACAGTTACATCCAATGCATAGGTATTTTCCTTTCCTAGTCTTTTGTCTTCCATTTTTATCTTAATGCAAGAAGGCATGGAGGCTAGCAAGGTGGCCTGCTGAGGAGTCACTTTGGAAACTGCCTTCCATGAGGTTTACTGGAGCTGAATCTGTAAGGAAGGCAGGCTTTTTTGTTGTTATTGTCTTGTATAAGGTGCTGTTGGTGTATACAATGGTTTTAAAGAGTGATTTAATGGAAGGTGAAGAGCAGCATCCAAATGCCCCCAGTCCTGTTTAATATTTATGAGTCAGACTTTTTCTTGTCTCACTGCCATCTCCATCCACTTCTCTTCCTGCCACCAACATTGGTTCTGCCTTATATTTAAAAGGTAAATCAGATCATTTCAATCCCAGGCTCAAAACCTCTACAGGCTTTTGTAACATAGACCACAATCCAGAATGCCCAGCATTGCTTTTCAAGAGCTGCATTATCAGTCCTACTTACCTCTACACCTTCACCCCTTTCCACTCTGCCCTTCATCTGATCACTAATCAATAGACCACCTTGTGTTTCATATTGCAGGCCCCCACCAGGGCCTCTGCACTTGCTTTTTCCTCTGCTGGACTACTCTTCCTGACATCGTGGGCCACCATGAATCACTACCTCATGATAATGTGTTGGTTTCTACTCAGATAGCATTTTCTCCAGTGAGACTCAGCACATCAAAAGCACAGCACTCTACCCTCTACATTCTTTTTCTTTTTTAAAGATTTATTTATTTGTGCATATAGAACTGGGGTGCAGGCCAGCAGTGTAGGGGTGGTTAGAGGGTTCACCAGAGACAGAGTGGGAAGCAGAACAGGCAAATCAACGAAGTACACTACATTGAGGGGAGCAGTGGGAGGGTCAGGAGAGGTTTGCCATGCCATGTGTGTCACCTCCAGGGTGAGGATCAAACTCATGCTGAAGTAGCTTTAACTTCTTAGTGCTGTGCTTTAACCTGCTGCACCACCTGAGGGTTCATTTTTCTTTTACTTTCTGGATTATTTCACTAAGCATGATCTTTTCCTGCTCCATCCATGTTGCTGCAAATGGTGTGCGTTTATCTTTTTTTGATTGCTGAGTAATATTCCATTGTGTACATATACCACATCTTGATCTAGTCATCTATTTTTGGAATTTGGGTTGATTCCATATCTTCCCTATTACAGGTAGGACAATAAACAGGAATGCATGTGTCCTTTTGAATTATTGTTTTTGTATCCTTTTGGTAGATATCTAGGAGTGGGATTGTTGGATCATATGGAAGTTCAATTTCTAGCAATTTGAGAAACCTCCACACAGTTTTCCATGGTGGTCACACCAGTTTGCATTCCCACCAGCAGTGTAGGAGAGTTCCTTTTTCTCCACACCCTTGCCAACATTTATCGTTGCTTGTTTTTCTTTATATGTGCCATTCTCACTGGTGTGATGTTGTTTTGATTTGCATTTCCCTTCTTACAAGTGAGCCTGAACATTTTTTCATATGCCTGTTGGAGATCTGCATTTCTTCTTTGGAGAAGTGTCTTTATAGTTTTTCTGCCCACTTTCTGATGGGGTTGTTCACTTCATATTTGTTGAGTTTCATCAGCTCTGTGTATTCTTTGTGCTCAGTCCTTTATCATTCATATTACATGTGAATATTCTCTCCCAGTCAGTGGGGTATCTGCTTGTTTTGTGTAGTGTCTCTTTTGCTGTGCAGAAGCTCTTTAACTTGATGTAATCCCAGCTGTTTATCCTTTCTTTCACTATCCTTGCTTTGAGTGATGTATCTTTAAAGATGTTACGGAGGTGTATGTTGTGTAGTGGATAGCCAATATTTTCTTTGAGGTATTTTAAGGTCTCAGGTCATATGTCTAGTTCTTAAATCCATTTTGAGTTGGTTTTTGTGTATGGAGTGAGGTGTTTTCACTGTTTACATGCAGCAGCCCACCTTTTCCAGTACCATTTATTGGGAAAAAAAAAAACTTTCTTTGTTTTATTGCATATTCTTTGCTCCTTTGTACAAAGATTAGCTGTCCATATGTGATTTTATATCTGGGTTTCCGTTCAGTTCCATTGGTCTGTATGTCTGTTCTTGTTTCAGTAAAATGAAGTCTTAATTACTATGGCTTTATAGCATAGTTTGAAGTTTGGAAGTGTGATACTTCCATTCCCTTCTTTCTTATCAGAAGATCCTTGGCTATTTGAGGTGTTTTGTGGCTCCATATGAATCTCATCTGTACTTATTCTATTTCTTTGAAAAATATCATTGAAATTTTTATAGGAATAGCATTGAATCTATAAATTGCTTTTGGTAGGATGGTCATTTTAATGATGTTAGTTCTTCTAATCCATGAGCAAGAAATCTCTTTCCAATTATTTGTGTCTCCTTCTATTTCTTTTAACAATGTTTTATAATTTTCTTTATAGAGGTCCTTCACCTCTTTTGTTAGGTTTATTCCCAAGGATTTGATCTTTTCTGTTTCAATTATAAAGGGAATGGTTTTCTTGATTGCTTCTTGTTCAGAGTGATTGTGTATAGGAAGGCTGTTAATTTTTTGTGTGTTGATCTTGTATGCTACTTTTACTTAACTGATTTATTATTTAGATAAGTTTTTCTGTGGAGTTTTTGGGATTCTCTATGTATATTACCAAGTCATCAGCAGTGATTAGTTTTACTTTTATCCCTATTTGGATTCTTTGTATGCCTTCTTCTTATCTTACTACTCTGCTAGGACTTTCAGTATTATATTGAAAAGCAGTAGTGAGAGTGGACATCCTTGTCTTGTTCCTGACCTAGATTTCTTTTTATCACCACTGAGAATGGCATTGGCTATGGTTTTGTCATATATAGCCTTTATATGTTAAGGTATGTTCCTTCTATCCCAAAAGTTTCAA